GTTGTCTCTCTCTCTCAGAAATAAATAAAATATTAAAAAAATTAAAAAACAAAGAATAAAAAACCCCAAAATGTTTACTTGACTGTTTATGTTAAGTGAGGCTTCCAGGCAACAGTAGGCGGCTATTAGTAGTTAACATTTCTGGGGAGTCAAAATTTATGTGTGAATTTCTGACCGTGTGTGGGGTCGATGCTGCGTTGTTCAAGGTCAACTGTAATGTAAAATTAAAATGTGTGAAAAAACAAAAGATGCAGGGAGAGCAGTAAATGGAGTTACAGGCTTCTAAGGTCAAGCCCTGCCTAAAAAATGGTGGAAGTAGCAATTCATACTAGATTCTAGTCAAGAATCCAAAGCATGATCTTTAGGGCAATTTCCAAAAGGATAATGAAAGATCTGTAATTAACAAGGTAATGGGGAAAGACAAAAAAGATTAATTCAAAAGAAGGCTAAAAGAGAGACTGACACACAGACACAGACAAGGGAAAAGGACCGTAAAATAGATGGGATGAAAGGAAACAAGTAGTAAAACTGTAGTCCTGAACCCACGTATTTCAGTACGATTACATTAAACATAAATCTAGATTTTCTAATATATAGGCAACTATTTTCAAACTGGGTTTAAAGCACATGTTCAATTTAATAATTGAAAAGCTAACACCTCTGGAACCACCACTCAGGTAGACACATTTTATATAATCAGCATCTCAGAAACCCATGTGCCTCTATCCTGTATTATAAATCTCTTTCATTAATAGAATTTGTAGTGCTAATTTGTGTTATTCTTCAGATTCACCATCTAGCCTTGACTTCCTACATAATGTTCTTTTTTTTTTTTTTTTCTGGCTATATTTGACCTTCATTTGAATAGAATCCAGACATTCCATGTTTTTATGGGAGTAACTCATAGTGTCACGTGTGTTCCTCATTTCCACTAATGAACAGAATTCCACTGTGTGGATTTACTGCAATTTATTGTTCTGGTCAACCGTAGATGGGCTTTTTTTCCTTCTAGTTTTTGACTATTATGGAAAATGCTAATAAACATTCCTCTACATATATCCTATTGCACATTTAAAGAGTATGTTTCAAAAGACGGGACTGTGAGGTCAAATGATAGTCAGATCTTCTATATTTCTAGATTAACGCCAAATTTTTTCTAAAGCATGATACCAATTACTCTTCTGACAACAAAATGTTAAACAAAATCAATTCCTTTATTGCAAAACCTCTCCAGTACATCTGGTGTTGTCAGAGTTTTAAATGTTTTACTTTTCCTTACCTGATAAGAAATGGTATCTCATTGTGGCTTTAATTTGCATTTCTCTGATTACTAATGAAGATAAGCACCTTTTCATATGTTTATTTAATGGCCATCTGGAATTCCTCTTTCCTGAAATACATGTACAAGTCTTTTGCCCATTTTTCTTTTGTATTATCTGGCTTTATATTCACTGAAGTTCTTTTATATATATACCCTGGGTACTAGTTCTCAAAAGGTTCTCTTTGCTGTCATGTGTCTTCTCTAACTTGATGGCCTATCTTCTCACTAAAATTATAGTGCCTTGAGAGAAGAAGTTTCTAATTTTAATGTGGTACATTCAAAAAACATTTTAGTGTCATCAATTTTTTATTGTATTGCAAAGGTATTTGTGTCTTAAGAAATCTTTCCTTATTTGAAGTTCACGGAGACATTCTATAGTCCCTTTTAAAAGCTTTAGAATTTTCCTTTAGCTATTTAGTTCCTTAATCCATGTGAGACTGATTTCTATGTATAGTCAGATATAGGGATCCAATTTCTTTCATATTTCTCTCAACAAGAATAGCCAAGTGCACCAGTTCCTAAGTCCATCATTTCCCAGATGAGGTGCCACATACTGTCCATCACACATCACATACACACATGTGCACAGGTTTCCGGATTCTCTGTGACACTGCTCATTTGTCCATCACTTGTCAGTATTTCATTATCCTCAGCACTGCAGTTTAGTAGTGTCCTGACACGTGGCGGCAAATTCCTTCCTTTTTGTTTCTCTAGTTGATGGATATCTTGAGTCTCTTAATCCACTGCATTTACACACAGATTTTAGAATCAAATCATCTTGTTGAGTTCCATAAAATTACACATGGGGGAACTGACTGAAATTGCACTCTATAAATTAATTTGAACAAAGGTGAGAACATTCTATAAATACTGTGTTGCACAACCCCTACACATAGGACATCTCTCCACTGAACTTTTCTTTAATCTCTCTCATGGTTTTGTTAATTTTCTTCCGTTATTACATGTCTTAGTGAATGTATTCCTACTTTAGCTAGTGCATATATTTGGTGCTACTGTATTGGTATGGTATCTTTAAAAAATATCTTTTAATTCTCTAATTGTATCAGATATCCAGGAATATAAATGATTTCTTATACATCTGAAATGGTCCATGTTGCTAACCTCTTATTAATCCTAATAACATATCAGTAAATTACATTGCATTTCCTACATTATATACCTACCCCAGTCATCCAAAGATAGTAATAATATTTCTCCATTCTTTTTAAATCCTCTTTATTTTGACCTCTTTTTCTTTCATTAGCCAAGAGATCCAGTATAATGTTAAAGTGATGGCCATAGGCATCCTTCTATTTTGTATCTCAAGGGAAATACTTCTAATATTTCAGCATCAGATATGTTTTGGGGTTTTTGTAGATATTCTTTATCAGATTAAGGATGTTACCCCCCTATTCCAAGTTTGCCAGGAATTTGTTTTTTATTCATAAACAGGTATTTTGTCAAATCTCAAATCCTAATGACTCTGGTCCTGGCAAATTCCATTCACTGAGTTTTTTACTGTCGAACCAACCTTGCGGCATTCCTGTGACAAACTCAGCTTCTATAGACTGTTGGGCTTGGCTTGCTAGTATCTTCTTTAGGATATCTGCATCTATCCTGTGGGTAAAAGTGGACTGTAGTTTTCCATTTCTGTAAAATGTTAAAATTGACTTTGGTATCAGAATTACACTAGATTGTTGTATCTAGTCTCAGAAAATGAACTGAAGTATTTCCTCTTTTTTTTTTATTCTTTGGAAGAATTTTAACACTGGTGTTGTTTCTTTCCTCAGTGTTTTCTAAAACTCACCACTGAATCCACCCATCAGGGTAACGTTACACACATTTGTTAGCATGGCTGCCTGGACAAGTTCCATAAATGGCAGGTTCTCCCTTTGTTATAGAGCAGAAGGTAGATTGTTCAGATCATAGAAAAAGCAGTTGACAAATATGCCATATTGGTCTACAAAATGCTTTTTTAATGGGGTCTTCACTTTTCAACTTCTCTCATTAGCATTTTTCTTTTTAGTCACTTGACGAGTTTCAGCACGCACGTTAAGAAGTGGTAACAACTGGGGCACCTGGGTGGCTTAGTCGGTTAAGCATCCGACTTTCGCTTAGGTCATGATCTCGTGGTTCGTGGGTTCGAGCCCCGCGTCGGGCTCTGTGCTGACTGCCAGCTCGGAGCCTGGAGCCTGTTTCGGAGTCTGTGACTCCCTCTCTCTCTGACCCTTCCCTGCTCACGCTGTCTCTCTCTCTCTCTCTCTCTCTCTCCTAGAAATAAATAAAACATTTAAAAAAACAAAAAACAAAAAAGAAGTAACAACAGGGGCATCTGGAGGGCTCAGTCAGTTAAGCGGCCGACTTCCACTCAGGTCATGATCTGGCGGTTTGGTGGGTTCTAGCTCCGTGTCTGGCTCTGTGCATTGACTATGCAGACCTTGCCTAGGATTCTCCCTCTCTCTCTCTCTGCCCCTCTCCCACTTGCACTGTCTCTCTCAAAATAAATACTTTTAAAAAAATTAAAAAAAAAAAAAAGGAGCGGTAACAACAAAGATTCACTGAAATGGAATTCCTGCCTTCAAAAACGAAATAAATGCTTTCTTCATAGCAGCTTCCTGGCTCAACACTAAAATGAAGGCCTCATTATCATGGAATATTAGAGTTTCTTCTGGATGTAAATTCCCAAATACCAAGAATCTACTGCAAATGGTGTAGATTTGTGATGCTTCTCCTTCACTGTGTCATCTCCTTGAGTATGCGTGGTTATTTGAGGGAAAGGATGTCGTTCCTCAAATAATGGCCATCCTTTAGTTAATTTATTTTTGGTTATATATTTGTGTCCACTTAAAAGCTGGAGTATAATTTAAAATGTAAAAGTAAAACCTTAGGACATTTTAAGGAGTTAATGTTTAGAATAAATAAATATCATAAAGCTCCCAAACTGTTCCAAATCACCACAACAAAGTAAAGAATTCACCAAAGTGCCCCCCCACCTCCCACCATCAATCTAGCCCGGAATCAGAAATCATTTTCTTTGTTAAATCCAATGATTTCTTCCCTACCAGCTCCAAATCTTTTAGACTAGGTCAGGGGTTCAGGGTCTTGGATGGTTTATTTAGACAAGTAAGTTAGCCTGTCCATTCTAATTTGAAGTTACCACAACACTGCTTTCAACCTCAAGGAAACTAATCATTTTAGGCACTGTTTCCCCACTCTTACCTTCCTACCCTTACTCTCCTCTGTAATTTTTGTAAGCCACTGTTTTACAGGACCTTGACTCTTCCATGTATAGAACACAAACCGTGGGAGTGATCAAGTGACCACTCTGACCCTCACACTAAAGCTGGAAAAGACCACAAGGGAAAACCCAGTCCCCTAGTCAATTCTAAACTTTACTTAGTTTTTTTGTTTTTTTAAGTAAACTCTACCCACAATGTGCGGCTTGAACCCACTACCCAGAGATCAAGTCACATGGTCTCCCGACTGAGCCAGTCAGGTGCCTCTAATTTAGTAAAAACAAACCATGTATAACAACAATGATAAAAGGCCTGAGTCATCAATTCCGTTTCTTCACAACAGACAAGAATGAATCTGAACAATTTAAGCTGTTTTATGCTTGAGAAATGTATGTTTACCAGCACATACTTACATAAGTATGGATTTTTATAGAAATGCCTACCTTTTAGAAACAGCATCATGTTCTCTTAAATTAATCTTTTCACTCGCATTTTCTGAAAGGTTAGAAGGCTCAGAGCTCATAGAAGTCTTTCTTTCATCTGGACTGCTGATGCACTCTGGATTCTTATCCAAATTCGTCTTTGAATTTGTAACCTGTTAGTTGGGTGAGGGAAAAGCAGTAAAGGAAGTGGAGTGTTACCACTTGTATTCTTCCCAAATTGACAGGTAAACTTTCACTTGGAAAATGTTCTCAAAATATTCTTGAATGCATATGGCAAAACATATGTTAAGTTATATGTATTTCAATGGCTAATGACAACAATGGCAGTTTCTCTGCCAAAATGAATTTAAAAACTACTTCTAAGAAATAAAAACGATAGTTAACAAATGAACATCTTAGCTTGAGGGGAAAAGAAAAATAAATACCTAAGTACTTAGACAACATTTTATGCCTACTAGAATACATTTTAGGAACTCAGAAACAAACTTTAACAAGCAAAGTTTTACTTTCATTATATTTCTAACAATAAGTGAAAACCAGAAATAAATCAAATTTCCAACTTGTTCTTCCAGCTGGTGAGTTTTGCTTAAAATGTGGAAGCTGAAGCACTTAGTACATGCTTTGGTTGAGAAATTGCAGTATTTTTTTTTTAAAGTTTATTTTGAGAAAGAGAGAGAGAGGGAAGAAGAGAGAGAGCATTTGCTGACAGTGCAGAGCTTGATGTGGGACTTGAACTCACAAGCTGTGAGATCATGACCTGAGCTGAAGTTGGACACTTAGTTGACTGAGCTATTCAGGCGCCCTGAGAGCTTGCAGTACTTAAAATATTTGTGTTTGTTGGGGCGCCTGGGTGTCATTATTCACCACTATCAACCACCACGGCAAAATTAACACAAAAGTGACATTTATTGAACATTACACCCAACATTCAAGTGTACATGGAATATTCACAGGAAAATGAATATTCATGAAATATTCATGGAAAAGCATATCTTGGGCTATATATTAAGTGTTAATAACTTTCAAGACTGATATTTTACATGGTATGTTCTCTAATCAAAATAATTAAATTAGATATCAATAAAAATGATACAAGGGAAGTTAGAAATTATTTTCAACTGATGGAAAACAAAGGTACAGTACATCAACGATTATAATCTCTGTAGTTAGAAGTGCAACATCTAATCACTGAGAAGGCGCTTAGAAAATATTTAGAAAAAGCACTGCTTAGAAGGAAATTTATAGCTTTAAAATGTTTTCTGGGAGAAAAAATATTAGAAAGTAATGTTCTTTCTCACTTAAGAAGCTGGGAAAAGAAAAAATTATATCCAAAGTAAATACAGGGAAGGAAATTATTTTAAAAAAACAACGGAAAAGAGATTAAGTAACAGAGAATTAATAAGATTTTTACTTATTTATCTTCTAACGCAATTTATTTAGCGAGAGAGAGACCAAGAGACAGAGCATGAGCAGGGGAGGGGCAGAGAGAGAGGGAGACACAGAATCCGAGGCAGGCTCCAGGCTCTGAACTGTCAGCACAAAGCTTGATGTAGGGCTCAAACTTACGAGCCATGAGATCAGGACCTGAGCCGCAGACACTCAATTGACTGAGCCACGCAGGCACCAAGAATTAATGAGATTTTTAAAACTCTAGCAAGATGGATCAAGAAAAAAAGAAAACACGAATTACCAGTATCAGAAATGAAACAGAGGGCATCACTACAGACCTACGAATATTAAAAGGACAAGAAAATTTTGTCAATAATTTGTCAACACATTCAACAACTTAGATAAAACGGTCACATTCCTTGTGAAGGTAACTTACAAAACTGATATGAAAGAGAAAAATGTAAATTGCCCCACACCTCTTAAAGAGTTGGTCTTCCTATAAAGAAAGCTCTTGCCTAAAGAGTCTTCAGAGATGGATTCATTCAAACATTTAAGGAAGTAATAAAAGTTTTACACAAATGTTCAAAAAACAGGGGAGGGAATGCTTCCCAATTCACTTACTGAGGCTAGCCTGCATAAATACAATATCAAAGAAAATAAAGACACTACAAGAAAAAAATTCAGTGAATGTACACTGAAGATTAGATTCAAATTTTATATAAAAAAATATAAACAGATACGAAACTCCAATGATACCCTTGCTGAAATACTTTAGAAGTATACACTGCAAAGTGTATTTTGATGCAAAATACATTAGTATTTGAGAATGCGACAAATATAGAGATGGCTTAGGAGATGGACTGAAAGATATATGACACAAATCAACATATTAAAATAGTAAAGGTAGAATTTAGGTGCCACGGATACAAGGGTTCACTGTTACATTTTTTCAACTTTGCTGTAGTGTATGTTTTAAGTTCTTTATCATGATAATATGGTGGGGATGGGGGCAGTCTAGGCAATTACAATTCACCTTTACTCAATTATTTTACTTTTTTATTTTATTTTATTTTACTTTATTTTATTTTTTACCTCTTCACTCACTTGATGAAAGAAATAATAAGGGGCATTTGGAGGATACCCTGGAGGGTATCTTCTCCAGAGAGAGCATCATAGGAACATTCTAAAAACAAACGTATTGTCTTTAAAGCTGACATTTGCTTTCTTAAAATCCAACTACCTATAATGTGGGTCATTGAGATAATTAAAACTCCTATATGTTCATACCAACCTTACAGTCTGTATTATTGGTTAATACATTTGGTTCCAAGCAATTCTTTTGAGATTGCAGTATTACTTTAATACGTCTCTGAAGTTTGGATATTTTTGCCTAGAAGAAAAAGAGGAAAACAAATCTGAAACCAGAGTACAAAATACTATATAGGGATGGAGGGAAAACTATGTATTTGCCAAAGCAGTCTTATAATACTTAGGCATCCACTCAGATAAATGAGAAATTCTTATATAAGCAAAGATTTAAATCATGTTTGATGCTGATATGCTATTTAAGAATGTAAGATAAAAACGCCCAACTTCTAGCTGAAGCACAATAAAACTAATGTTGGCACAAACACCAACCAGGCAAGTAACATTAGAAAAGGAGAACAAAACAAAAACCCTCAAACGGTGTGAAACAGGCTCTACAAGCTCCAATACAGAATATATTTTGAATTAAAAGAAACTGCTTATGTATTAAGTCTGTCAATTGACACAAAATTACTGACAACAGAATAATATTCCTAAAAGTATCTAACAAGGGCCAATATTGCTAATAGATTCTATTGCCCATTGATCTTAAACAGGTACAATCTACATCTCTAATCAACACGATTCATGTAAATAGTATCACAAGAATTACTCAGAAGTAAATTCATATATACTATACATGAAAACGCATATATACTATATATAAATTCATACATACATATAGTATACATAATATAGTATATAAAGCTTGTGGTCAAGGATCAGATTCGGGTCTACTTTATGGTCTCCCTTTCCTAACGTGTAAAATATCACCACATTCTACTTCCAAATTAAATCAAATGAAATTAGAAACTTACGAAGAGTTCATCAGCTATTGCTTCATGTTTATTCCTGCACTGTGTCTTCCCAATGCGTTCAGTCAATTCTTTCAGTTTGTTATCAAATAGTTTGTAACTTACACTATTTATCTCCTGTCGAATCAAATGTTTGACCTAGAATTAAAACAACAACAAAACACCCCGTGTTTCACATTTAAAAGCAATTTTATTTTCTACTCCTTAAGAGTGCCTGGGGCACCTGGGTGGCTTAGTCGGTTAAGCATCCAACTTCGACTCAGGTCATGATCTCGCAGTTTGTGTGTTCAAGCCCTGCATCGGGCTCTGCTGACAGCTCAGAGCCTGGAGCCTGTTTTGGATTCTGTGTCTCCCTCTCTCTCTCTGCCCCTCCCCTGCTCGGACTCTGTCTCTCCCTGTCTTAAATAAATATTTAAGAAAAAACCCAGCTTTGTTCTTTTCTGGATTTACTGTAACCAATAAAATATACTTTTTTCATATTTTTATGTTTATATGTATATCACTATAGGGGTAAGTTTTATAGAAATTTGAATATCAAATTTAGCCAAACATACCCATAATATGGATATGTTAGAAAAAATTAAATTTATTCTCCCAGTGCTAATTTTAGTTTCCTATAGTTTCTGCTAAATTCCATAATACCTATTAAAGGAAAGGTAAAATGCTATATCCCATTTATATTTTTTAATAAGCATAACTGACACCTGTATTCCATAAAAAGGCTCTCCACTTGTCTGAAAACCAGAGTCCAGTGAACGTGGTTGGTTGCTCTGTAGCAGATATGAAGCAAATTATGAAAGTCTGAGCCTTGACCCAGCCATTAACAAGCTATATGACCTTTGGGAAGTCCCAGCGTCTCAGCTTCATTTTCCTTGTCCACATACGGGTAGGTAATACAATGGTGAATGAGTGATGCTCACAGGATTTTTATAATACAAAAGGCTAATATGTGAAAGAGCTCCAGAAAATAGACAACAGTGAATTGACATAAAGGAAATAAATATGCAAGATAATCCACTTTACTTGCATAGGTTTTTTTAGGGGGTGATTTTCCTATTGTTAAAATTGAAAGAGGCCAGGAACAATTAGGAACAACCAATGCTGTTGGGCATAAAGCATATGAACAGTCTGTAGTAGCTATCACATAAAACCTTAATGCATTTCATTGCCTGGCTGTTTTTTAGAAAACAGAATGGCCTATTTTCAGGAAGCATAATTAATCTCAATGCCCACTGTTATGAATATATATATTTTGTTCAACCATATATATTTGAAACATCCACTGTACTTTTTTGAATTTGTAACCCTCTGTAAGCTGCTTTCATAACACAGTAAGTAGTCTCTTTTAATAATAAGACCTGTCACGATACACTGAAGGTATTTATTGGTAATATTTATATTTTTCCCCTAAATTCTTGCTTCTTGGTTGTCCGAAATTAGAACATAGCTTCTATATTAACTCTTTTATGCTGGTATCATCTGGATGATACTCTGGTATTTTATTTGATTATTCCCAAGGTTTTTCTTTCATATTCAACATTACTCTTCAACATTATCATCCACTTGATTTTTTCTGTAATGCTTAACATTTCTTCAATGATCTTCTCAACATTAGGTATAACTGTCATGTTTACTTTCAAACTGTTAAGTATTTGATTAAACCAGTAAGTGCTCAAAGTATGCATATTATGTAAATAAGTGCTCAGAAACACATACTATTTTTCCTGACAGGCGTTACCTGTTACCCATGTGTGGTTTTTATGGGTTTCTCCATGCCTGCCAGTTCAATGGCTGGGGCCAACAGGTAAAGCTCATGGTTTTGGTTTTTGTTTTTTTAATTAAAAAAAAATTTTTTTTTAAACTTCATTTTTGAGAGTCAGAGAGAGACAGCACAAGCAGGGGAGGGTCAGAGAGAGAGGGAGACACAGAATCCGAAGACAGGCTCCCGGCTCTGAGCTAGCTGTTAGCACAGAGCCCGACACGGGGCTCGAACCCATGAACCACGAGATCATGACCTGGGCCAAAGTCAGACGCTTAACCAACTGAGCCACCCAGGTGCCCTGGTAAAGCTCATGTTGAGATGATCTTGGAGAAACTATCTAAATGCCTTGAATATGGAAATACTGTTTTGCTAATAAGTGGAGACGACACAATGTTTGCGTACCTTCCCTGGTGACCAAGAATCATTATGGGACATTTGTTAACATCACAGATTCCTAGGCCCTACCCCGAATTCACCAAACAGAATTTCCTGGAAAAAAGGCCTGGAAAGCTGTATAATTAACAGGCACCACCAGTAATTCTTAACACATAAGTGTGAGAAAAGAGTAGCCTAAAACAACAGTCTTCAACTATTAGTGAGCTCAATAAAAACCACGATTTAAATAAGTAAGTTTTCCTGGTGATTCAGATTGAGGCAGACACTTAAAACTTGGTTATTTAAAAGGACCAACTGCCCACCTACGGGTGATTACTCTTGGTTAGAGTGGTGATGTTCCTCATAAAGAAGGAAGATGTAATAACCTCCACCAAGTACCTCATAAATGTCTTCTGTTGATGGTAATGTGTCCAAAGTTATGGTATCAGTTGGAAATCCTAGGTATCATTTGCAAATGGCAGCCAAGGTTGCCTAAAGATTGGAGAAAGACTGGCAATTGTGCATTTCCAATCTGCCTCAACTTCCTAAGATGAGGAACTCCATTTATCTATGGGTAGATGAATAACCTGGACTTTAGAAGAAAAACTCCTCCACTTCACCAATTTAATTGAAATCAATGAGGCCAAGATCCTTAAGAATCTCAAGAAAGAAGAGTCAAAAGCTCTGGGACTCTCAGGCAAGAACAATGTCAGAATGGTAGGCCCTATTCCACTGGGAATCAAACAGGAAAAACAGATAGTTATGGTTTAGAGAATTAACTGTTTGGACAGGAATTAAAATATCAAGTGATAAAGGGATACAGGTATGTTGTTCCAAAGGGACACATGCACCCCAATGTTTATAGCAGCACTATCAATAATAGCCCAAGTATGGCAAGAGCCCAAATGTCCACTGATGGATGAATGGATAAAGAAGATGTGGTATATATATGCAATGGAGTATTACTCAGCAATCAAAAAGAATGAAATCTTGCCATTTAAAACTACATGGATGGAATGAGAGGGTATTATGCTAAGTGAAATTAGAGCAATATATCACTTGACTCATATGAGTACTTTAAGATACAAAACAGATTAACACAAGGAAAGAGAAGTAAAATATAAAAACAGGGAGGGGGACAAAACGTAACAGACTCGTAAATACGGAGAACAAACAGAGGGTTACTGGAGGGACTGTGGGAGGGGGGATGGGCTAAATGGGTGAGGGGCTTAAGGAATCTGCTCCTGAAATCATTGTTGCACTATATGCTAACTAACTTGGATGTAAATTTTAAAAATAAATTTTAAAAAATATGAAGTGATGGAAAGATAGCTATTTAGAGAAAGGTAAAAGGAGAGTAATTAGCTAACACCCGAGATATCTCTGAACAGAGTGCAGGAAACTTCTGGCAGTGAGATGGAGAAAACCAGACAGCACTCCTTAAAGCTCACTTGGAAGGACCATCTTCTGTGCCAACTCAGACCAAGTGCTTTGTGAGACAGGTAACAGTAAGGAATGAAAACTATAATCTTTCCATATCAGTGAAATCAAAATAATTCAGATTAAATTTCGTCCTTACATGTCCTTATCAGAACTTACTTCTAGGGGTGCCTGGGGGGTTCAGTTGGTTGAATGTCCCACTTTCGTTGAGGTCATGGTCTCACCCCTCGTGAGTTTGATCCCCGCGTCGGGCTCTGTGCCGACAGCTCAGAGCCTGGAGCCTGCTTCAGATTCTGTGTCCGCCCCCTCTCTCTGCCCCTCCCCTGCTCTCTCTCTTTCTCTTTCAAAAATAAACAAACAGTAAAAACAGACAGACAAAACAACAAACTTATTCCTAAATTCAACTACTAATCATTGGGAATAAGACACAGCTGGAATCCCCAACCTTTTTCTTGAGCTAGATCTATGCTTACCATAATTCTGCTACCCCTTTCCTAAAAATAATAGAGTATGTATATATATATTTTTATGAGTGTTTCCTTTGGTTTTCCTGGAAGAAAAGACCAGGTAGAGAGGGAAAAACTGCTGACTGGCTTTCATGCTGGCTCTGCAGGAGTCTTTCAATAAGGTTTCCATTCATTTATTATGTGAATATTTATTCATACATATTCCATTACAGTTGACAGACCTTAATCTACCACATGACGACTTTTAGTTGAACAATTCCAGTGGTAGTAAAACAGCAAAATATGATCGTTAACGCTGGTCCTCATTACAGGACCTATTAAAATCAAAGCTCATTTGGGCGCCTGGGTGGCTTAGTGGGTTAAGTGTCCGACTTTTGCTTAGGTCATGATCTCGCGGTTCGTGGGTTCGGGCCCCGCATCGGGCTCTGTGCTGACTGCCAGCTCAGAGCCTGGAGCCTGTTTCAGTCTGTGACTCCCTCTCTCTCCGACCCTCCCCTGCTCACGCTCTCTCTCTCTCCTAGAAATAAATAAAACATTAAAAAAAAAAAATCAAAGCTCATTACACTTAAACTCAGAGTTGATCAGATGTAGGTAACTGTGGAACAATGAAATAAAATGGGGAACAAATGAAAGTGAAACGTGCACTTGACGATGCTGTACAGCAAAGGGTCAGATAATGCAACATATCTGTGTAAACCTGGAAATCAGCTCAAGAAAACCTGAATGCAACAGGACTTTATGAGGAGATTTCTGGGTTGTCAGAGACTATGACGTGGTGGTCAATTGTGATAAGGTACACAAACAGCTGTAGCTGCAGATCTGAGAACCCCAAGACCACTATAAGAGAGATTGAATTATTCAGCAAAGCTTAAGGTCATGCAGTGTGTGACTTTCAAATAAATTTAAATGTAATATGACTAAAAAGTCCATTCTCTTTCTTCTACAGCACTCTACCTACATACGATGCTATAGGGCTATTTTCAATTAATTAGGGATGTTCTGGTAATGTAAACAATTACCGTTTCCCTAATACTACCATGTGTTGACTCTGTTTTCATATACCACCTCTGCACAAAGTGACCATCACCTGTACTACAAATTATTGTGGAGATCAAGTAACTTTTACCATTTTTTTATTCATCAGAAGTTTCTGAAGCAAATATATAAGCCCCAATTTTTTACCTGTTCCAGAAACGCTGTTTGCTTTTCCAAAGCTACACAAATATTTTCATTGATTTGCTCTGAAGTTTTGATGCGCTTAACAGTTTCTTTGTTTTCCGGAAAAATCCTCTTCTTTTGATTATGGCCTCGGGGAGATGGAAAGATCAGAGGTAAAACTATTCCTTCTAAGAAAGGAGACAAGGGAATTCTCTAATCTAGTGACCAAAATGTGATCAAGGCAACATTTTTTAGCAAATGTAATTGTATAAAAACTTCCGACAAACAAATCCTTAAAGAAAAAAAATGATTATGTTTTAGAGTCTTAGGTAGGATTCTCGTCTCAGATACACCTTCCCTCCAACCTTATTTAATGCCTATTAAAATACCAACAAAAACTGAATTATAGCATTTAATCCTCTAGTTACTTAAGTGCTCTTCCAGTATTCTTATAAAGTTACTTAGGCAGCGTGACATATTTTTAATATGTGATCCTATTATTATTTATAAATAATTTTAAATCTATCTTGTTAAATGATCACTATGTAGCCTAGACAGGAACACAAATAAAATTTATCCTACAAAATCAGTTTTTCCTTAAATTTCATTAACCTACAAAACAACCTACTTCTAATGAAATTTACTTTTGCTTTTGATTTTTGTAAGTCTAGAACATCAGTGGTTAATTATGTGACGTTTTTTGGTCACTATATACACACACATATGTATATTCTTGTGTGTATATATCCTTATTATCTATCAGCTTATCTTGGCATATGATTTGCAAGTCAATTCTATGGAAAGAAATGAGTTCACCAATGATTTAAAATATCACTCTTGCAACTAGCCTCCTAAATTAACCTAATAAATAAATCTTCAAAATAAGAAGAGATGGAGGAGTACCTGGGTGGGTCAGTCGGTTGAGCGTCCGACTTCGGGTCAGGTCATGATCTCACAGTTTGTGGGTTCAAGCCCTGAGTTGGGCTCAGAGCTGTCAACTCAAGAGCCTGGAGCCTGCTTTGGATTCTGTGTGTGTGTGTGTGTGTGTGTGTGTGTGTGTGTGTCTGTCTGTCTGTCTCTGTCCCTTCCCTGCTCGTGCTCTGTCTCTCAAAAATAAACATTAAAACATTAAAAAAAAAAAAAAAAGAATAGATATAGTGAAATAAACCAAACAACTGCCTTAAACCACCTTTTGGTTTTTCTGTACTCCTTCTTTGCCAGTATTTATTTCCCTTTGGATATGGAGAATACTCTTTCCTCTCCTCACCCTAAATGGTTCAGAAACAAGATACTCTAAAACAATTATTATCATCATTTACTTTTCTCCTGACTATATGTACTCTATTCTTTCTGCATCTGAGGCTATAAAAAATCCTCCAAAAGGAAAAGGACTAATTTCTCCAAAAGAGGCATAAGTATACACTTACTGTTATTACTATCCATGTCAAGTGCTGACAGCCACGTTGAGTCTACATTTTCACTATCTGAAATGCTGGAGTGACAGGTTCTACAGGATTCGTCACTTTTCAAAATGTCAGCAGGACAGTTACTGGAGATGACTGAATTCACCAACGTAGGTATTTTATCAAAAGGAACAAAATGAGTTTCTGAACTTAAAATGTGACCTTGTCTTTCATCATGTGACTCAGAATTGGAGTTTGTTTCTGAATGGGAAAGGATCTTGTTGATTATCTCATCATCCAAGGTGCTGTTTCCTGTAGACTTTGGTATGTCAACCACACCACTCAAACTGGACGGACAACAAATGGAGTTCATAGTACAATCCTCTTCACGTTGTTCAAAATAGGACATTGTTACATCTGTCTGACATTCAAAATGACTTTTTGAAGTGTTTTGTGAATCTTTTGTCTCCTGTGTAAAGAGTTTCCCGGAAGATTCTATTGTTTTTGTTGGCTTTGGGGAAGGGCACACAACTTGTTCTTCAATGTATTCCGATCTTGTTTCTGAATCAACAGTTTCTAATGGTTTTGTAACATTCTGACACAATACTTTACTTTTCGGTGAGCATACTGAATTTTTGTTAGAGTCCAGCAAGGAAGCAGCATTTTCAGACCGTCCATATTTGCTACTTATGGCACCGGTATTTGAATTCTGATTACCACTTGACATATTACTATTCCCAGTTGCTGTTTTCAGTGCTTCGACATTCTTTGACCTACTCAAGATTTCTATTTGCTTCCGGCAACTTGCAGGCATTGTTTTTTTGGCTTTTAGTATCTTCCGCTTACTTCTATCTGGACTTGCCATCTTTCATACCCTAGAATTTAAAATACCATATTTAAGTACTTCTCTCTAATAGACAAAAGCTTATTTATTTGGAGTATTAAAATTATGTTCAGACTATCTCTGAAGATTTAGATAATTATATTTCTTGAAAATTACATCCATTTTCATCTGTCACTGTAAATGTACAAGTAATTTTAAACTTTTTCTATAACTCTAAACTATGTAAACTCAAACTTTCTATTGCCAGTAAGCCTCTACTTGATACTAAGCCTGATAATTTTATCTGGCCACTTTTTGTGGTATCACCTTATTGCCGTAACTATTAAAGTCTGGTTTCAACAATCCAGACAGGTCATACTTTACATAATCTAAAGACTGAATTGCATTTCTTCATAAAAACAAAACTCAATGTTTTGCAAAGAATTTTGCACTTTCCCCACATAGTAGCACCTTCTTAAAGCCTTCCTAATGTTCAAATTTCTAAAATAAATGGTACCGTGGGAGTAATTCCCAATAGTCAGGAGTATAACATAAATGCTAAAGATACACAACATGATGCCAGTTCAAACAAGAAAGCCAATTTCGGTTTCTTAACAATTATCTCTCATAATTTAAGAAAAATCTACATAGCAGAGAAAAAGATCTTTGTGTTTCTCTCTCAGTATCTACATCAAGTCTGATCTAAACTGCAAGTAGGTAAATGGTTTAAGGGAAAGAATTCCACCAAGTGACCAGGCAGTCAAAGGCATAATAAAAGCAAAAGAATATATATATATATATATATACATATATATATATACATACACACACCTGGGCATGATGGCCCAGTTACCTAGCAAACTATAGAGAACTTATTAAACTGAAAGAATCTAGGGGCACCTGGGTGGCTTAGTGGGTTAAGCGTCCGACTTTCACTTAGGTCATGATCTCGCGGTTCATGGGTTCGAGCCCCGCGTCGGGCTCTGTGCTGACTGCCAGCTCACAGCCTGGAGCCTATTTCAGAGTCTGTGTCTCCCTCTCTCTCTGGCCCTCCCCTGCTCATGCTGTCTCTCTCTCTCTCTCCTAGAAATAAAGAATAAATAAATAAATAAACTGAAAGAATCTGCGGCTTTATAAGGCACAAATAACACAGTCAAAACTCCCTAAATAATTTTTTCATTTGCAACCTTATTCTTAGTTGAAGCTTTTGTTTATCTTTTTTATTATGATCAGGAACAGTTCCAGGATTTGTGAGACCTGAAGGTTGAGGTGAATAGTTATTTAGTAACAAGAAAAAAAAATCAGAACAAATTGAAATAAAAAAAACTCATGTATAAATAAACACCACAAAATCCAGAAAAAATCACACACTCATTAATCAAGGGCCTGATACAATAGATCCTGTTTTGCCTATCTATTTGCCTCTTCATGAACATAATTTTTGCAGTATTTCCCATAGAGAGAATGAACAAACGAAGGCTTTCTTCTAGAATGGTTAATTTTTTTTTTAAATGTCTATTTTAGAGAGAGAACACAAGCAGGGGAGGAGCAGAGAGAGAGGGAGACACAGAATCTGAAGCAGGCTTCAGGTTCTGAACTGTCAGCACAGAGCCCGACGCGGGGCTGAACCCAACAGCTGTGAGATCATGACCTGAGCCAAAGCTGCAGCCCAACAGACTGAGCCACTCAGGCATCCCATTTTTAATTGATAATCACGATGCATAAAACAATCAGCTTCATATAAAGACATACTTCTTGTTGATACTGCTACAGCTATGTGCCCTATAAACACAAAAATTCTTATTTCAAAGGCAGAATTCCTATCAAAAATGAAAACAAAGTATGGTGAATTAAAACAAATTTTAATGTTTATTTTTGAGAGAGAGAGAGAGGAGGAGCATGTACGGAGGAGGGACAGAGAGAGGGAGACACAGAATCTGAAGCAGGCTCTAGGCTCTGAGTTGTCAACACAGAGCCCGATGTGGGGCTTGAACCTGCTGATCATGACCTGTGTTGAAGTTGGATGCTTAACCAACTGAGCCACCCAGGTGTCCCTATGGTGAATTTTTAATTAAATATGCTGTATTATTTTTCTAAAAAAGAGAGAAGTTCTTTTGACTGGAAATCCATGAGAACTATATCCTCTACTTACATTTTTAAGCATGTGGTAATTGGAAATTTTTTTCCTGACTGCCTTCTGGCTTCATAAATTTCAATTCATGGCTTCTTCACTCCTCACATATTTCAGGTGCCAGGCACTGCAGACCACATTCCCATCACAATCTGGCCAAGAGGCAATAATTACCTACACTCAAAAGTGACTATGAACCACAAATGTATCCTATTAAACACCCACACTAAGGTATCCCTAATCACAAACCGCCTGAAGCTATTCTACTGCCAGGTGACACAGAGGTAAGGAGACATCAAGATGAAGAGAGACAGTAGTCTTAAATGATTACAGCTGAAATATCTTATTTTTATAAACCTTAAAAAACTTCCAACTCTGTGAATACGTTGCTATGGCCCTTTCTCAGGGCCTTTAGAAAAGGCCCAACTAGTGAAAAGCCCTGAAAACTTTGGGGGAAATATGCCTCTACATGTGATGCATACAAAAGGCATGTAATATCCATTAATTATGAAGTACAACAACTTGAAAATACTGAATATCTTTTGGGGTGTCTGCTGGCTCAGTCAGAAGAGCGTGTGACTCTTGATCTCGGGTTTGTGTGAGTTCAAGCCCCACACTGGGTGCAGAGATTACTTAAAAAAACAAAATACTGAGTACTTTTGAACCACCCCCCATTCATTCAATCAAGTACTACCAGTAACTTGCATTTACCTAAGTTTTCCCATACCATGCCTCCTCCTGGTTACTCATTCTAAGATAATTCTTTACCTTAAATTTTGAGTTTATACTTCTATTACTTTTCATAAGTTTCACTATAAATGTCATGTGTAAACAGTAATTTTGCTTTTGAGCAAACTATAGTTTTCTAACACTTGTTCCTTCATGAATACCCAAGACTCATCCATGCAATTATATACAGCAATAATTTTTACATTTTAGTGGCATTATAACAAAACTTGTTTATTTACTTCTCTATGAAGATATGAATCACTTCCAGTTCTCTTTCTTAGTAATACTTGTTTCAAGGTGCATATCTGTAAAAATTTTTTGAGTGGATCTGTTGGGTAGCAGTTAAGATACGAACACATGTTCAACTTCCCAAGATAGCCAAATTATTTTCCAAAGCAGGTATACCAATCAATTGCTCTAAGGGCAATATATGAGAGTTTCTACCATCCACATCACCTCAAGCCTTTGGTATTTCCAGACTTAATTTTTACCAATCTATCTGTCTACAGATATGTATCTGTCTTTATTTGCAGTTCCCTAATTACTAGCATCTTCTTATGTTGATTGGCTATACAGCTTTCCTTATCTGCAAAATTCCTGGTTATAGCTTATTATTTTTTTGACTGGGCTTTCTCTAAAGCTTATTTATTTATTTTGAGAGAGACAGAGACAATGTGAGTGGTGGAGGGGCAGAGATGATCCCAAGCAGGCTCTGTGATGTGATGTCCCCACAGAGCCCAAAATGGGGCTCAAACTCATGTGACATAATTACCTGAGCAGAAATAGAGAGTGGGGATGCTTAACCAACTGTGCCACCCAGGCACCTTGGGTTGTCTTTTCTCATTTACATCTTAAGAGAACTTATTATATTACTAATAATAATCCTTTGTCAACCATTTGTTGAATGAGTTACAAACATCTTGGATCTTCCTAACTTTTATGTTGACAATTTTCTTTCTTTTATGGTCAAAGTTTAATCTCTGTTGAGAAATCGTTTCCTACCCCCAAGGCCGCACTGGTGGTACAGAAGCCTTCTTCGTATTAGGTTATCTCAGGACATGGACCTGTACCATGGGTGCGTTAACTATAAAAGTACATAATATAAATGCATACCTGAGTGAGTATACAATAGAGATACTTGCTCAGTATTATTTTTAAAGTTTTTGAACATGAGAAGATGGGTCATTAATTGTGCAACTTGCTAGTTGATAAAACTTATGGCACTAAAGAGACCTAAATCACCTGGAAAACCTCTGTATCAGTATGCTTAGGAAAAAATAATACTGCCAGTAAAAGGCTCAGTAATACTGCCAGTAAAATTTAAGTACTGGTAACTGCCTAAAAGGTAGACTATAGTTTACATGTTGTAAACAGTTTTAGTGAAATTTATTATAAAGTTTAAAAAACGGTCTAATTGGGGGAATCCCTGCCATCACCAGAGCTCGATTGTCTTCAACCTCGAATCCTTTGCTGTCAAATATACTGCACTGGACACACACCATTGGAGCCATGGTGCTGTCTGCAGCACAAGGTTGGAAAGAGAAGTCATCTGTATTATCGCTAGTTTTAAAGACCTTTCTTCTGTAATTTAAGTCTGTAATCCATCTAGAATTGATTTTACAATGTTCTGAAAGGACGGAATCTAATTCATGTTTCCCTCAGGCAACTAATTAATTGTTGGACAGTATCCTGTTAATTTTGAGCTTTAAATATAATGCCTCTTTTATTTATCTGACTTAACTCCTGCTGAACATACTGTTGTTCATCCCATCAATTTTAGATGTTACTTGTAAAACTTCAAGTATTTTAGTCTAATGGATCTTTTAGTAGAATTTAATCAAATTACATTTAATATAAATGCCATTAAAGCTTTAATTTATGTTGTTATGCCTTTCTGATTTTCACAGCTTTTTGCTGTTATGTTTTCCTTTCTGTTATTTGTGATCTCCATATTATGCTTCACTATGAAAATGTCTCTATTTTTTAAGTTCTACCATGTGTTCCGATTACATGGATTCTAGTATATTTAAGTTTTCCAAAAGCATTTCAGCCAATGTTTTAGAAACCACTGAAGTACAAAATAAAACAGTATTATTTGAACATACATTATTAAAAAAAATATTTAAGGGGTGCCTGGCTGGCTCAGCTGTAAGAGTATGTGACTTGATCTCTGAGTTGAAGTTCAAGCCCAA